AGACAAATACAGCTAAAGAACAAAAAGGCAGAATCTACAGGAGAACACTAAGAAAAAGGGGAAGATGAATCTATGCACGCCACAGAAAAAGGAATAGAAGGATATGATACTAAGTCGAACACTTGTGAATATGGAACTTGATTTAAAAGCGTCTAAAGGTTTTATAAACGAATACACATCCAGTGAAAGCAGATAGTTACATCAGTACGTAGAAGATGCTGTCTCGATTCTCCGAAATCGTTTATTGAGGAAATAAGGTAATATTGTGCATATTGAGATTTGGGAAACGGCAAAAGAAGTATCCGCAATTATGTCATTCCTTATCAGGATTTGCTTTTGTGAAATCGGGGATATGTTGCGACAACAACACGAACACTATCTCTTTGTTGTGATGATCTATTTCTCTTTCCAAGTTCCTTGTATAGCATTACACGGCCACCCCACGAAATGGAAGAGACTAGAAAGAATATGCATTAGAGTCTCCTCTAGAATACATTATAGCTCTTTTTCCAGTATACACTCACTTAGAAAGAGCGTACGAGTAATAATCATCCAGCATTAGTCTTAGTTATTCCTCTTAATGGAGACAGTGTGCGTAGATATACATCTTAGCCAAAGTTACGTTGCTGAAAGAAAATTGCAATTCAAGGATTTCAAAAACCGAGTAACCATTCAATGGGTATACTATCTCCTTTCATCGAAACACAGAATCTTTCGCTGTTGATATGTGATTTTTTCTGAAGTTATTCGCAAAAACTAACAGCTTGCTCAATCTCGCTATGAGCTTTACAACACATCAGTCATCCACACACCACAGTTCGAAAGATGATTTTTGTTTTGACAAGTACCCGTCTGTGGCACATCAGCAATGATGAATCACTAGTCGTAATCATTTACATGCGCATCAACTCATCCACCAAGATGACGTCAGCTCCACGCAATGGATAGCTGAGGCTTGAGCTATAGCGAACCGTGTACTCGTGGTTATGAAGTCGCATGTTGAAACACTGAAGGAGGGTTCATGGCATGCGGAAGCGCAGTGCCACTGATGACGAATAAATTTCCATCGTCTAATTCCTCCTCGCAGTAGTCATATGTCGTAACGCATTTTATCATTACAACATTACCATTGTATTTTGCCTTGGTCTCTTAAAGCCAAAAGGAATAGACAAATAAGCGCGCTGGATCTTTCGATCGGCAAATTATCTCCTTCGCAGAACGCATACTTTCCGTGTCATGTATAAGCGCCGTGAATCTTGGCACGTGCTTGATAGCCATTCATCCGCAAGCATAACCGGTAAGCCTCTTTACGACTCCCATCGTGTCTGATGCCGTGTCGCGCTTCATGAAGTGTTACTACTTTACACATCCTTAAGCATTCCGCGGCTGCTTGCATAAAAGGGTGGTAATGTGTCTTTCAACTTGATTGTAATGACTTTCTAATAAACAAGCGGTTTACGATAATCCATGCGGGTGACCGCTATAACTTACAAATAGATAATATTATGGTTCACTAGAGCATTATGTCAATGATTGCGACCCAATAACTAGACTAACTTACCTTGAAAAGTACTGCGAAATACCTGTCCAACTCCGTTGTTTATACTATGGAAAAAAAGCTCGGTACTACAAAACACATTTGTTGAAATGCTTTCAATTAAGATCGTTACTCTCAGGATACAATACACCCTCTGAGGGGGCTGTGAGTATTTTTGTTGATAGCTAATCATTACCAATAATAAAGCCCGCAGTTTGTCTGTACATATAAATGTGTGTTTCTGTCTGTCGCGAAGTTAGTTTTTGTCTTAAGAAAGTCAAAGCAGGCATCCATCGTTATCGTGT